TACAACAAATAAAATATCTGTTATATTACAATATGTAATATAACACAGCGCCATGTTAACGTCTTTTTTAAAATAGTCTGAAAATGCTAATTCATAACATATTATAATAACGTACCAAAAAACATTAAGTAATTATAACATAATAATAGTTTAGTTTGATAAACTGGTTAAAAATAACACGAAAACTATCATTCGTTAAACATATGAAAGTTTTGATGCTTAAGCCTTTTTCAGATACCTACTTATATACATAATTCTAGGGACCTCCAATAGCAGCTGGAAAAGGTGTATGTATAAGATTAGCAATATTGCTTCTCTATCGTGATTTGGCCAGAGATGTATGGTGGTTAGTGTGCCCAGACTGTAAACGAAGGGTTCGTGGTTCGTGATCCGATGCCTCAAATACGTGTTCCAAACTTTGGGGCCATGTGTGCGCTATTAAGGCGATGGTCAAATTAAAATATTCGATCAGACAAGAGTAGCCTAAAAGTTAGTGGTGAGTGCCGTTGACTAACTGCCTTCCTTCTAGACTATCAGTTTATAATTAAGGACGAATAACGCAGATAACCCTCGTGTACTTTCAGCGAACATTTTTAAACACATTCAAACTAAAATGCTCCCTTCCACATTAAAATATCCATTCAATAAACAGTTGTTTGTTTGCTAGTTTTAGAGCAAAGACACGCCGATCTATTTGCTGAGAATCGCGGAGAATCGAACCCCATATTTTAGAGTTGTAAGTCCGTAGAGTTACCACTATCCTACTGGGGGACATGAACAACCATTTTTAACACTAGCTAATTATTATTTGATTCTTGCGTTGTTAGTTACTTCAAACATTAATAAATAACGAAAGCACTAACTGTTTTTGTTGAGTATCACAGAATTATATAGAAGAATATTCCTTAGGTTATGTTACCACCCGTCCTCTAACATCTTGTTACAGACTGGTTAACTCTATTTTAAATAATTATATTTGCTTTTACATTAATTATTATGATACACCTACTATATGCCGAGACTGAGACTGACAACAAATGTGTATCGATATTTTATTCCACGACGGATACGATTTTTATTTAGTGTCAAATTTCGAACTCAACAAAGCACTTAGCGCTCCGTCATTCACCTGGGAAAGTATGTTCCTAGAAGTTTCTTCATCTATTATTGCTCCAGTGACGTCATGTATTAGTGTCCATACAAGTATTAAACAGAAATACAGCTAATTTCTTCCCTGTTGATTATCACACAACGATATAGTACGTCCGCCATCTTTAAACACTTTGTTTATGTTTTTATAAGTAACCACAAACGTCTTAACTGCAAGAGTTTAACAGGCCTTATTAGCTATCATTCAACGACTAACAGGCGTAACTAAAGCTATTATGGATTGAAACAGTTTATAGACCTAACTAAAGGAATTATATATATCAGGATAAATACTAAACAACGGTGGCCTCGTTTAAACAAGAAATGATCTTAACGATGACTACAGGTCTTAGTCACGCTAAATCATGATTTAATAGATATACACTATGATAATAAACACAATATTAATGTCCTAATCAGTTTACATCATATTTTAAGTTCAAGGTCTACTTAATTCGAAACACCACGTTACATTGTAAGTTTAGGATCTACCTAATGATCCGAAATGTAATATTAGCGTCTCCATTATCCTTCCCCAAACTATAAACTATGAATTTACGATATAATGATGTAGCTTGCTTTCGGTAAGTCTACTGTAAGCACTATATGTTTAAAGTAAACATTGTTAGTGTTATACGAAAATATCGATTTTGTTCTTGTTGAAATCAATAATACTTACCAAAAATGAAATTGTCAGGTCTGAACAGTTGTCCAATTGATCCAGATCGAATCGAATCCAAAACACCGGGCTCTAAGTCAACTAGGATAGCTCGTGGAACGTATCGTCCACCTGTAAACATAAAAAGAAAAAGTGTTTAATTTGAAGGACTATGTGACACTTAATTCTTATGAGTTCTATTTAAAAACACTTTTTGTAAAAAAAGGCTAAACAAGGGAAAACCGAATGAGTCATTTAATATACCTAATTCTTGAGTAACATCAGTATGTTTGTCTATGTGAATTATGGATATTTTGACACTTCTCCGAATATAAGGAATCAATATTTTATGTTGGAACATTTTAATAAAGAAGGTATTTGAAAAAGAAATAATCGGGTTTCATTTAGTAAACCTAATTCTTGAAATACACAAACACGTTTCGCCTATAAACATTTTGAAAATTTGGCACTTTTGAAAATTTGAATATATGGAATCAATACTTTAATTGGAACATATCAATAGAGAAAATAATTGATTTGTTGAACAACTTACGAATGATTTAATAATATACGTAAGTTTTCTAACAAATAAAATCATTCTCCCACTAATGCTCACGTCCAGATGGTTCAGGGATTGTGATGTTTAAATTACTTACCAGATGGCATTACAAGCAATTTGTATCATTTGGCTATAGATAAATTCAGAAAATAATGTTTTAGAAACAAAATCGTCTGTTGACAATTGTAGCTTAAATGAGAAAAGTAAGCACATGGGTCTTCGACAATGACTGATTTTGAGCAATTATTTTGATATTTCTTATAAGTTATCAGAAGCTGCTAGTTAATGTATTACTCCAACCATTTAAAGCTTTGGGTTTGATTTATCAGGAGTTTACATGCTTCAGTTAAAGAAAAATTTTTAAAATCAGGTTTATAAATAAATCACAAGATTTAACAACCAGTTTGTAGGTGATTGAAAACAGATATTGATGTGTTATACTCTAAATGAACTCAGACGAGGACAACCTGACATAACAAAGGAACTAAAAATGTATAAAGTGAACTAACACAAAGGCTGAACATAGATATAAGCTATACTGAGATAGACATAGCACAGGAGCTGTTTGTGTAGAATTAACTAACTCAGAGAATAAGAGTCTGTGACTGAGATAATATAAAACTACAAATGTGTGGTTTGAACTAACGCAGCCTTCTAATCTGCCAATGGTGTAACACAAAAGCAATATTTTCCTTGGTTGAACTAATACAGGGACTGAGTCTGTGGCTAACTCAAAATAAAAATTCTTTGTGAGTATTTGAACTAAGTTAAAAACAAACAAAACGGCCGTTTAATTTATGCATGTGTGTGATATATAAAGTGTATTGTGTTTGTATGTCCGTTACAAAATCTTTCCAGCTTTCTGCCCTCTGATTACCACAAAACGTTCAGGGGTCGTTGGATATATATATATAACAGAGATATACTGAAATTCCTCACTTTATATATATTAGCAGTTTTAAGAGTTTGACATCCATTTCAATGTTCACCCTTTGCCTTAATACCTACTTCCCGAACTTTGATCGCTATGGTACTTTCGGGAATTCTTCGGTCTGGCCCAAGTATCTAGGACATCAATCAATATGTTGAAAATAAGTTGGCCAGTAGGAGTGAATTTCTAGGAATTTTTATGGCAATATTCAGTAGACACACATTCACGCCATCCCTCCATACCCGCGAAGTCAACGAAATATATGTCGCTCTGAGATCTTTGCTAGTGTCCATAGTGTTATCATAAAGTCAGAAATAAATCATAATTGCATTTTTGTATATGTTAAGACAGAGCCATAGTGATCTTCGTTTAGAAATATAGGATAAAAATATTTATGCTCTAATCTACCTGATTATCTCGCCCCTCCTGAAAATATGTGTGCACAAATCACCCTGATGGTCTATCTCTCTTTAGATGTGTATTGGAGTTAATCCCTTTGAAGATGTTTTCTTTCTTTCTTTCTTCCTATCAGTGTGTACTACTCCTCTGGATTATTTCTCTCGTTCTTTCTATGTGTTTGTATGTGTTAACCTTCTAGTTATCTCTCTCTCCTTACACTATGTTAATCTTAATCCCTGATGATCTTTCTCTCCGTCTATGTGTGTAGATTGATTCCCCTGATAATCTCTCCATTTATGTGTGTGTTTATTATTCATTCTTTTTAATGGTCTCTCTCTCCCTCTAATTATGTGTATTAACTCTCTTATGATTGTTTTCTTTCCCTCTAATTGTGTATGTATTAACCCCTCTTATGATTGTTTTCTCTCCCTCTAATTGTGTATGTATTAACCCCTCTTATGATTGTTTTCTCTCCCTCTAATTGTGTATGTAATTAACCCCTCTTATGATTGTTTTCTCTCCCTCTAATTGTGTATGTATTAACCCCACTTATGATTGTTTTCTCTCCCTCTAATTATGTATGTATTAACCCCACTTATGATTGTTTTCTCTCCCTCTAATTGTGTATGCATTAACCCCACTTATGATTGTTTTCTCTCCCTCCTCTCTTTAGCCCTGTGCATGTATTAATTTCTCTGGTGATATCTTTGTCTCTAGATGTATCTGTGTTAACCTTGATTATTTCTATTTCTGTAGATGCTTGTGCATAATTCCCCAGTACTCTTTCCATATATATATATCTGTTAACTTTTTTTTATCATCCCGATAATATTTTTCTTCTTATATGTATATATTTACATTTCTCATGATCTCTCTTTCTCTAGATGCTTCTACATTAATTACCCGTTAATCTCTCACTAGAGTTATGACGTTAAAATTCGATTTTGATACATAAGGTGGGCAGAGCACAGATAGCCCATTGTGTAGCTTTGTGCTAGATATCTGTTATCTGTATATTTATCTTCCCGATGCTCTCTCTCTCTCTCTAGGGATGTCTTTGTTTTTTTTTCTTTCGTTTTTTGTTTTTATTTGCTTAGTTACATGTTTAACAGTTAACTTACATCTTGAAAGTTTTGTAATAAATTGTGTTTTTAGATCCTTCTTTCTTGGCTTGTTATAAAAACATTATGATTTGAAGGCTTTGTCTGTTATATTAATACCACAAACACACATATTATCTTTAATAATTTAACATTAAGTAATGAAGTAAATATTAATATTATACAAAACAACTGGTCTCAAATTATCTCATAATGATTACATTTTTAATAGCTACTTCATTGAAAAAAACATGCAATTATAAAATTACATACCTGCTACTTCATTGAAAAACATGCAATTATACAAATTACATACCTGTTACTGCGCTGAAACACAAATGTACCTATAAAAACTACAGATCTGTTACTATTGAAACACAAATGCATATATAAAACTACAGATCTTTTACTACATTGAAATACAAATGCATCTATAAAAAGTACAGATCTGTTACTACATTGAAATGCAAACGCACCTATAAAAACTACAGACCTGTTACTAAATTGAAATACAAATGCATCTATAAAAACTGTATATCTGTTACTATACCTATAAAAACTACAGACCTGTTACCACATTGAAATACAAATTCACCCATAAAACTACAGAATTAATACTTTACTGAACTACACATGCACCTATAAAAACTACAGACCTGCTACTTCATTGAAAACACCATGCACCTATAAAAACCACACTTGCTATTTCATTAAAATACTCATGGAACTTTAAAACCACATACTGCTACTTTATTGAAATATACATGCAGCTATAAAAACCACAGACCTGTTGCTTTATCGAAGAAAAATATTCAGCTATAAAAACTACAGACCTGCTAATTCATTGAAATATACATACAACTATAAAAACCACAGGCCTACTTTTCTATTAATATGCACATGCAGTTATATAAAACACATTCCTGCTACATTTTTGTCCAAAATGTTTGAGCATTGTTCTATATTAATGTTATTGTCTACATGCATGGAGTAGTTAATGAGTAAATGCCCGAGTAGTAACAGAGAAGGTAGCGTATGATCGGACAAACAGGTACGAGTTGTTATTCTGGTCTGTATAAGTTGTTTTGATCATTTGTTCGTCAAAACACACATACACATCTGTTTTGTATAAAAGGGTGTGCTTCTAGTATATTTTTTTTTTTCAAACAGATTAACTCTTTGTGCTTGGTGTAGAGTCATGCTTTGTCACGTGCCAGAAGTTATAGGGCGTCAAATTGTTCGACTGTCCAAAAATTATATGAAGCAAAGGGGCATTGCCAGAACAGTAGGGTAACCCAGTGTACTGTGTCCTGAATCCTGAAACGTTATCGGATTATAGGAAACATTGTTCCAGGAAAGTCTATTGACAGACACCGAAAAACTACTGATTGAGATGACCGTGTTTTGATCATATTAACATGTCAAGGTCGAAAGAAGTCTTGCTACACCATACAACAGGAATGGCATGAACACATTCATTCCAGGATATGACCACATACCTGCTACCTCGTTGAAATACACATGCAGCTGTAAAAATCACATACCTGCTACCTCATTGAAATACACATGCAGCTGTAAAAACCACATACCTGCTACCTCGTTGAAATACATATGCAGCTGTAAAAACCACATACCTGTTACCTCATTGAAATACACATGCAGCTGTAAAAACCACATACCTGCTACCTCGTTGAAATACACATGCAGCTGTAAAAACCACATACCTGCTACCTCGTCGAAATACACGCCTATTTTGTCCTGCTGAAGACTGGACTCTCCACAGTACTCTCCTACTGGATTTATCCCATGTTCATCTGATATTACGGACCAGAACTACAGAGATTAAAGAAGTAAATAGTAATACAACATTATATTTATGACACATAGTTCTATCAATAAAATAGTAGTACAAAACTACGAAGGTTCATATAGTTCTATACGTGCTGCTTCAAGTATTTTGCTGTTAATATGTATATTTTTCGTTTCTTTACGTAAGCAATAGTCATACAAAGAGACAGACAGATAGATAAGTGATTTGGGGACTGAAAGTAGTGAAGCGGCTAACCTGCTCTGATTGTGAATCCGAAGTTCATTAGGCTGAGACACAGCACATAGAATATGGCGAAGATAATGCCAGTTGGAACAGAATAAAAACTAATTTAAACATATCAAACTACTTGTAGTTGTATGAACTGCGTAGCTTTAGAAAGGATAATTTTCAGGTATTCAATATCACAGATTTTTCTAGTCTGAAGTGTTCTACTATTGTTATTGGACATATTCGTTATTATAGCAATTCTAAATAGGCAATGCAAGAAAGAAAGGAAATAGAAAATTTCTTTGTTAGAGCAGTTATGGAGGGTGGTTTGAAGTTTTTAACATTATTATTGGATATTTTTTGGTATAAATGTGAAAAGAAGCACGTAATTACATTCTCATTAAATCATAAGATTTAACTCTGTTTGAATAGTGCTTACAATTTATTAAAATATTAACATACCACCTACAATTAGTTAAAAGTTTCCAAAATTAGCTAAGAAATTTTACCAACCTTTGACCCTATTTGGTTTCCACATTGTCCTGCCTGGACGTGAACAATTTCTCTCATTTTTATGAAAACTGAACACAGGCGAGGCAAGTTTCAAGTGGCAATTCCCTCCTGGTGTGTAAATCTGATGATAATGCTGCAACGCACGGCAAGCGATAGCTTTGTCTTTCGGTGCTCAAAGTTCGACCTAATCAGAAAGTATTCAACAACATGATTGTTACACTTCGACAGGTTTAATATTTCTGTAACAACAATAACAAAAAGTCACGGGTTTTGCAGTACTTATATTGTTTCTCTAAGCAAACAAGAACAAACTGACTCACTGCAACCTGTACATGCTATAGTTAACAGTAAGTGATTTAGTTAATATGTAAATGTTCTAAAAATTTTGAGAGATTTCCCGCTATTTTGTCAGTTATGTCGACGCATGTCACGGCGTTTCATATGGACCACGTTCTACTTTCACTACACCTATAGATATCTATATGTTATAAATATGTTCGTTTACTTTTGAACTTTGAGAGTCCCCGATGGAACAGTGGTAAGTCTACGAACTTACAACGCCAAAATCCGGGGTTAGAATCCCGGGGTGGACACAGCAGATAGCTCAATGTAGCTTTGCTCTAAAACAAACAACACTCGTTAGTACATCCATCACCGCGACAGCTAGTAATATTAGCAGTTAACTTTGGTCTGTTACAACTAAAGTTAATTGTAATGATTAAATGGATAACATGTCTGTTATAAAGGAATCTTTAGTGATTGAAAAGGTAATTTCTCTATTACTGGTATGATTTGAATGGATAACTTATCTGTTTAGGACGGATAATTCACTGCTATGATTGGATAGGCTAATTATCTACTTAGAATAGATAATTTTCTTATGATTGGAATGTTAACTTGTCTTTGAGGTATAGGAGTAACAGACAAAATGACGCAGGTTTGATGAATATCATACAATTATTTTAAAAAATGGTCGACCTTCTACACCTAGAAATGCTACTATTACAATACAGCTGTCTTAACGTTTACTTGCTCAATTACGTCGTTTTGTAGAATAGCTTATGTTAATATAAATACTTATATGTTTGACAAGTCCTAAAGATTAAGCATAATATACACTTTTCATTACCTGAGAACAAACATCCGAAAGCATCTCGCTGACGGTAATGTATATATAATGTTTTTGCGTGCTTCATACCTTATGTCTTAATCTAATACACGATAATTTTGATAAAAAAATTAAAGCTAATTAACTTGAAGAATTATTTTTACGAAATCAAATATTTTTGCAGTACACATTTTGCGTATCGCCATCTATTGTAAGAGAAAGTAGTTTATGTTTATTTAGTATCAGTTGCTGGTTATTTCTTTATCCACAGAACAGAGTAGTTATGAAGTATATTTTGAAATTATTAGTTCTCCATAAATTTGTTTTATTAGATTAAATATTTTATCATTATTTGTTGATTTTATAAACAATGCCAATAGACATCTACCGTCATGCACAGACACCTAGCGTTATAACATGCAACGCAAACAATACTGTCATATACAACAAATTAGTTGTACTAGCATAAAAAACCCACGCTAAGCTGCCGGTATCAAACACTTCCTTCGTAACTGACAGAGTCCCTAATGTACCGATCAAGCTCCTCTACTTTGCCCAGTTACTTCTATAGCTACTCCTAGGGATCCTTACCCGAATAAAAAAAATCCATTTGGACACCGGCCCATGTTACCTGAGCAAGTGTGTCACGTTTGGTGACTCTAAGTTGTGAGTAGGATTATGAAAACAGTTTCATATATGACGCCTCCCCCAGGATCTGGAGGGAGAAGGACAGAAACACAAAATCCGATGCCAGATTCAGGTTCAACGACCCAGCAAAAGTACCTCTAGATCCATATCATGACTGGGTGTCATTTCAGTCCCTCTTTGCAAGGGGATACGCCATATAGGTAAAGACATTCCCGGGCCACCCCGAGTGCATAGACAAACAAATTCACAAACACACAACGTGAGTTAATATAGGATGCGCCAAACTTGCTGTTTATGCCTTTCACACCTGTCTCGTCTATGAGGTTAGATGGAATTAAAAAACTTTACTGAGAGCAATGTAACAAATTATTAAATCTTACTTAAATCCTTTCCTCAGCCTAGCTCTTAAATGGAATTTATATATATATATATATATAAATATATATATATATTACTTTAATTACTTTTACCAGTCCTAGATATCAAGTGGAATAAAAAAGTATGAGTTAATTTATCCCAGTGACTTACCATAGTTTTCTTTAATTATTTTGCTAACCCTAAATGGTTAATATTGGATATTGTATCCAAGCAGTTTACCATAGTTTACTGTAAATCCTTATCATATGTTATGTGTCATAAAGAGGTATTTTGCTTTTGAATAACTTTCGATAAAAGTTTATATTCTTTCTATTACCTGCAATTTTTCAAAAACTACCATAAGTTAGTTTTATATTCTTGTCTCGTGCTAGTCAACATTAAAAGCTTGCATTAGAATCATTTTGTGGTTACTGGGTTCTAAGAAAATAAAGCGTTTTTTATTTTGCTAAACGTCTCATTAAAACAGTGTAATATGGTTATAATACTCACAGACTCTTGAACATGCAAGTAAGAGATATCTTTATTAATTTGTTTATTACTGGAAATCTCGTTGAATATGGTACGATGACAGGCAAATGAAAGTAAACATTTGATTGTCTTATGTGCGTTTATGATTCTGTCAAACATGACTTTGAACTACTAGTGAAAATGTAGTAGAGTGGTGAAGTTCGGATAACTATAAACAAAAAACAAATGTTACTTTATACATTTTAAAAAGCTTTTTCTCTTTGATTACTTGTCATGTACGTTAAAAACGTACGTTCAGATGGAGCCACCGCAATCATATGGATAAAGGTTCAGATATACTGCTGTCGATTCTGCGTTATAAACCGCAGCAGTAGACCTGTTGCAGGCGCATGCCACCTTGCGGAATTGAAAGAAAACGAAGAAAAAAAAAAGCTTCAAACGTAGTGGCTTGATCCAGTTGTTCAGAAGTCAGGTTTCCTTAATCGTAGGTGGAAGCCTACCTTAGAATTTGTGTAAGCAACTCGCCAATACGAAAGTATAGGAACAACATAGTTTCATCCAGTTTTAACCATCTTCTAGTAATCGAACTCAAACAGCAGCAGAGTAACTAAAGAGCTTAGGAGATAAAAAAGAAAACTAGCAAACAACTTTTTGAGAAACACGATGATAGTTCTGAAATTATAATAAACATACTATCTATGATTAGTCATTATCAAAATGGTATGACCTCTCGCATGACAGTTTCCTCATCCAAGAAGTAGACGAAAGAATATCGGATTTTAGAGGTAAAAAGTACTTATTTGGATTAGTTAGCATTACTGTTAGCTTTAGGATGGTTGTCTAGTTAATTAGCTTTACTCTTAGATTTAGGATGGTTGTCTGGTTAGTTAGCTTTACTCTTAGATTTAGGATGGTTGTCTGGTTAGTTAGCTTTACTGTTAGGTTTAAATTGTCCTGTGGTTAGTTAGCCTTACTGTTAAGTTTAAATTGTCCTGTGGTTAGTTAGCCTTACTGTTATGTTTAAATTGTCCTGTGGTTAGTTAGCTTTACTCTCAATTTCAGAGATTCTCTGCTTAATTAGCTTTTTTTTAACTTTTAGTTGCCCCTTTTGAAAAACTTTTTGGTTAGTTTTCTTATCTATCAGCCTTTATTGTTAGCTTTTAGATAATGGTCTGGAAGTTAGCTTTAGTGTTAGCTTTTAGATGATTTTCTGATTAGTTAGTTTTACTTTTAGTTTTTACATGATAATCTGGCTAGTTAGATTTACTGATAGCGTTTATATGATCTTTTGGTTAAATAGTATTACTATTAGGTTTCAGATAGTTCTATGGTTCGCTGATTAAGTTATTTTACTGTCAGCTTTTTGATGGTTCTCTCGTTAATTTGAAGAGATTTTTGGTTAATTATTTCACTGTTTATCTTTCTATGCATCACAAGTCGACATCACTGTTAGGTTTTGAATGGCTACCTAAATTATTAACTTTTCCTTGCCTCACGAGTTAACTGGTTTATCGTTTGGACCGGTCTGCTGTTATTAGTTTATCACTGTGTCGCGAGTTGATTAGCATCGTTATTAGTTACTGCTTATCTTTCTAATTAGTAGCTTCTGCGCGAGTTATTCCTTGCTTACTTTAATGTCAATATGAATCCCTTTATGGAGATGGCGCTGTTTTATTTGAGTTATTTTATTGTTTTGTATAACAGTACATGTTTGTAAGGCACTGTTCGAACGTTAAATCGACAAGACTTAACTCACGATACGTTAGATGGCTATCATTCTGAACATTACTGAAATCTATAAATACACATGTGCAGTATACCTTTACTTATTATCTTCTAAATATATATTTACATAGTGCCCTTTAAGTATACCTTTACTTAATATCCTCCTAATATATCTTTATTTAGAACCCCCAATTGCACTCTTACCTAGTATCCTCCAAGAGCAACTTTATCTAGTATCATCTAAGTGTATCTTTACCTAGCATCATTCAAGCGTGTCTTTACCTAGCATCATGCAAGCGTATGTTTACCTAGTATCATCCAAGTGTATCAAAAAGTATAGAAATAGTTTTGTCTCTAGATTCTATTTCATAAATATTTTGTGAATCTTTGATCTACAGTTAATTGGGGGTAAACAAGAAAACTAATTTTCTGATTATTACTCAAATACTTAAGCTCCCACGCGCTTTGTTACAAAGTACTACAAAATTAAAAATATCCAATGGTAAAATTGTCTTTTTGAAAGAAGGGTAACTGCCTCTTGTGATCTAATTTGATATTCCAATCAGAAGGCCAGAAACGATACAGCTTGAATTCTCAAGAGGCGGTACTCCTTTCTGGATCTTTCTGCCCATATTTGGCCCTTGAAAATATCTCTAGGTGCGCTCGTGTTTTTTACTGCTGCAACAATGTTTACTTCCTACACATTTAAATTTGTTCGTAACCTTTCAGATTGTCAGCTACCCATCCATGTTCTTGTCTTCTTTCATCAAAACCAATAAAAAAAGTTCAAATATGATAAAGAATTGAATATGATCCATAGGAATTAAAGTCATGATTGAAACCAAAGCCGGCGGCCTTAGACAAAATTGTGGTCTGTGCGAACTTTGTATTTGGCGCTCCTGCTC